AATCCTTCAACTTCATCGATGTCAATGCTACAGCTTGAAGGAACTCTCAGTAACCTGCCAAGCCATAGATGCCTCTTGTGCTTCAAGAGAGCCACACATGCGTTAAGGTGTCTTTTAGCATGGCACTGTGCCCAGGAGGAAGAACTACTGCTGGATGCATTAAATCTCCTTGATAGGCAGAGCAGGCAATCCCGAAAAACCTGTTTGTCTGCTGCTCTTCAAAACTTGGTCACTCTACACGGCACACAGCACTGATATGCCTGAAACACATTCTCAGCTGTTGATTATTGGGAACAGGTAGGACTAACACTGTTTCTGATTTTGGTATTTCCACCGAGGGACTAGATTTGTGTGTGAAAGAAGGAAGGACTGCTACCACTCTAATGAGTGGTAGCCTCAGTCATTTGGTAACATGGGCAGGGCAAAGAAGCTCAGGAGATGGGGATGAAATCAGTTACTCCATGCTTTGAAGACCCAGAGCCCAGACTCAGATAACCTTTCTCTGTTGCTCTTCCTTTTGCCTTGGCATCCCAAATACAAACCTTTAAAGACACTGGTAAGTTTCAGTGTACTGAGAATAACAGAGAGGCTAAGAGGTGAAATATTTGGGAGCAGGGCAGGGCTCATTGACTGCATAATTGCTTTTACCCAGGACGTTCTCTGCTTCCGCACTAGCCAGGAACTAAAATCCCAGTTGGTGGTGAGTTTTCTCATTGCTTCCTTTTCCCACAGTGGAACCCCAGAGTTCTAGTTCTCAGTCCACTCTCCCCATTAACCTGCAAGGTACTGCTTTTTGGCTTGAAAAATGTCCATCTCACATTCAGTGAGTCCACATACCCTGTTGTGCCGTAATCTGAGACATACAATATAACTGTGGACCAAACTACATATTATGGCAGAGCTCATATTTGGTAATTTGGTTTTTGTAAAAACATGTAATCCTCTTTTGTAAGACATGGGCTGGGGCTGGGGCATGTGGGGAGAGGGGCTTAGACCTCCTCCCCGTGTGCAATCCAGGTTCAGATTGCCTACCTGCAGCTGCTCCAGAGCCTGTATGTTTAACAGTAGCTCCAAGGAAAAAATCTGGTACAGGACGGCTGCAGGAAAGCTGGAGGGGGTATGAGGGAGGAATTAGGCACCCATCTCTCTGGCATCATGGCCTTAATCCAAATTTGCCCTCCCTGTGGCTTCTTTAAATATATATATATAGAGAGAGATTACAGTGAATCTCTAGACCATGGGTCCTCAAACTAAGGCCTGGGGGCCGGAACTGGCCCGCCATGGCCATTTATCCGGCCCACCTCAGAGGTTTTCAATGCGCCGTGCGTGCGCCACATGTGCCCCCCCCCCCCCCCGCATGGGGAGGCAGCGGCTTTCTCACAAGGTCATTTTGGACTCGCTTGGAGAAAATGCTCTCCAAGCAAGCAAGCCGCTACGTCGCGCCCCCGCCACCGCATTGTGGCGCGTGCCCGCCTCCACCTTGCCTCCGCTCCCCTCGCTGCGCCCTTGTGCCCTGCCCCCCCGCCTCAGCGTGTGCGCCCTGCCCACTTCTGCGCCGGCCCGTGCCCCTCACTGGCACCACCTTTCCGGCCCACGCCCTGCACCAGCACTTTTCAGCTGGCCCCCCGGTGAAAAAGTTTGAGGACCCCTGCTCTAGGCACTGAGCTCCAATCTAACAGCCCACGGTTGCAAACTGTTACGGACTGTGGGTTGTTGAGAACATGGGCAGAAGCAAGCAGGCTTACTGAGTTCTGCCACCCACCTACCACCACTGCGATAAACAGCCCAGAGATGCCTCATGCCTGAGTTGATGATAGTAATGTTCAGACCTGGAACTCCAGGTTGTTGTGCATTTACTCATCCTTTTTTAACCATGCCACTCTCCTTTCTTCCACCCACCACCTCTGTACTTGCCACTGCCTAACTGCTCCCCTTAGGGCAAGCCCATGGTTCAGTCCTAGTGTGTGTGCCTTCTGTAAGGAGGGTTGCAGGTTCACTGGTCATTAAAGTACTCCAGGAGCAAGACAAAGAGAGACCCCTCTCAGTCTTGGAGTTCTGCACTGAGCAGATGGCTGGACTCAGGGGCCTTCTTGGCCCTTTCCAACCCAACTATTCTACAATCGTGCCTGTGCGTGTTTGCATAGCACTTGCCAGTCATGGTAGACAGCACTGACCTAAGCAGTTCAATAGCTGATCTCAGTGGATGATGATGAGGAGTAGCGACCTGTCTCTGCAAAATATTTTATATGACACTGTAGATCACAAACAATATCTAACTATGGGAGCAGTAAGCCCAGTATCCTGAGCAGGTGTTGTTGTTGGTTACTTATGATTAGTTTTAGTGAAGGAATTTTGTATCCAGGCCTTGATAGGTTTAATTCCTTTCAGGCACCTGTTTTCCTTGCATGTTTTTGCCTGATATCATGGTTCCTTTCCTACCAGCTAAGTATTTATGCATGTAAAATGGTGGTGCATAATGCGTGTCCCAGTTGGACTTTCCTCTGTTTGGCCAGCCCATCAACAACTCCATCTGCAACTTCTCTCTCTGCCACTTGCTTTCAGATAGAAAGCCAATCCAGACTTAAATGGACAGCCTATTCTTTACCATGAAGCAACGTGCTGGACCTCATGACAGCTTCAAGCCACTTTCCCTTCCACTACCTGTGGTTAACCAAGAATTTGGAAGAGTCTAAGGAGGGTCTGATTGTTTTTTCTGTTTGAGTACAAGGACTGGTTGCTAATTAGAGGTGAAGTATTCTAATGGTTTCTTTTTATGTGGATTTTATGTAAGATTTACTGTTTCACTGTAAATTAAAGACTTTTATTAGATGTATTTATGTGGTTATGTTGTATGTAAAAGTTGTTATAATTAGTTATTTAGTATTTTAAATTGTTTTGTTTTATTTTATGTACAGCACATTTGAATGAAGTGCTATATAAAGAAATATTATAATTACATATGCTATGACAATATATACAATTGTTTTGTTAGAATCCAGGCTAGATCCTGCTGCTTTAACTGAATAAGAGCTACCGCACTGAGTTGGCCTACAATTCATGTGTATAAATATTTAATTTTGGTGCATGTACAACATCTTAACCATAAATGGGATAATGAATTAGAGTTATCTAATGAATTAGAGTTAATTTGATTTTGCTCAAATCAGTGGAATGTTTTGTTGATATCAACAAAGGAAGGGGTGACAGATCAGCAAAAATGGATGTTTCAAGTGTAGTGGATGCCACAATGTCACTTTGATAAGGACTTAATTAAACCAGCCAATTGATGAACATGGAATGAAGTTAATGCTTATCTTTTTCATACATTTTGACAATACCCAACAGCAGCTTCTTTTTGGGAAGAAGAAATAATTCAAATAAACATTGTGATGGACAATTCTTTAAGATTCAAGGATATATATGTTCTTAACTACCTAGCCATATTCTGGAATTTAACACAAGGCCAATGTAAATAGTTCTCCATACCTTTTGACAGCTAAAAGACTAATACTACATACTGGAAGGATAACCACCTGGAATAACACAATGGATAGATGATTTAATGAAATATTCAGTTTTTGAATGGGCAGCCTTTAGGTATAATCTGCAAATGGATAAATATATGGATATCTGGGTTGCCTTTCTTGAAGTTTTAGCATAATTATTTTTAACATCAGTAGTATTTTTGCTAGATACAAATAAGTAGGGATATACCACATATATGTAATTACTAGTGTTACTTTTCCAAGAAATATAACCCATAATATTTTAGTTTATCTTCATTGCTTTTTTCTTTTTCTCAATAATTAAAAAATATAAAAGATAGGAAGCCAAATCAGATTGATTGAGACACAGAGAACAAAGGGCCTTTAAAAATATGATATCATTTTCCTTCCTGCCTTCAATATTGCAAATTCCCCTCTCAGAAATTCCTGCCATGCCTATTGAAAAATCTCTTGCTTCTGGTGCCTCTAGATAAGTGGGGTGCATGTTGGCATCTGATTGTGGTCGATAAAACCTTGTTGCTATTACTTGATATTTGAAATAGTACTAGCCATATGGTAGACAGTGTGAGAAATACATTACTGACAGGGTTCCAGAGTGCAAACCAGTGTCATTTGTAAATACTCTAGCTTACACTTTATTAGATGCAAATACAGTGTTTTACTGGCCCAGTGCAGAGATGGAAATTATGTTCACACTACAAGTGTAAGTGAATGTTTAAATTAGATTGTATATAAATATATGCATTCACACACTTCTGATATTGGTAAGAAGTTTCAGTGGCAGCGCTTCTAGGTATAGCTACCTTTGGAAGAAGAGAGCACTGAGGACTTACAGTGCATTTGTAATGTTTATTCATGAATATACAAGAACAGCATAAATAGAGGAAAATGGGTATTCCCACAAGAGAGAAGATCCCCAAGAGAGTAACTGGGATGGTTCCCCAGGCAGCAACACCCTCTCCTCACCCACTTCCCACTCTCTCCAACTCCTTCTTAGCTTTCAAATTTGTGACACATTTGTAACAAAGGCTCAGTATAGTCCACACAAAAAATAACTCAAATGTGACCTGTATATGAGGCAAAATTATACCAACTAGCGTTATCTTCTATTTCTACTAGTCAAAAGGAGGAACAAGGCAATAAAGCACTGCTCTCTTACCACTGAAAATTTTAATGCAGTCAAACTTCTGGCTCCAGAGATATTGTCTACACCATTTCAATGCATCATTTTCAATCCATAGGGTCTAGAAACTTTCTAGAATTAAAGAAAATTGATTCTCAAGAGGGCTCAATTCTGTACCCTGTATATGATATGGTGCTTTGGCCACTGCCTCTAGACTGGGATTTGGCCTCTGCTATGCTATATGTAATTTTGGAACAGGAACTGTGTCTCCTGACAGGCAACACCACAGACCCTTGAAGCTTCATGAACAGCATGCTGATTTGCTGCCTTCCAAAAATTATCAATGCTTCTTGTCCTTCCAGGTTCCCAATATGGCAGAGCCAGGAGCAAATGACTGCAGCCTGGTAGATCAAGAGCTTCGTGACATGGATGAGGACCGCTTGTGGGAGATGGTGGAGGGCCATCGCTACAGGATTGTGCACGGTGTCTGCCCAAGCCGGCTTACCCCCTACTTACGGCAGGCCAAGGTGCTTGGTCAGCTGGATGAGGAAGAGGTGTTGCACGGTCCTCAGTTCACAAACAGTGCCATGAGAGTGGGTGAGCAGCTGGGGTGTGGCAGTGTTGATAAGGCACATCCTCCCTTGTTGGGGACAGACAAAGATTTCTGCATAGCTTCAGGAATGTGGAAGGGAGGCAGTACAGCTCCATGGAACCCTGTGGGTTCAGGTGCATTACTCAGTTTATAGTGATATGAAGAGCATAACCTGCTAACAGTCTCAACTCATGGTATGAGACACACTCAGAAAGAGGGAATGACCTCAGCCTGTGAGGTTTGGGCATGGGAGAGTCACAGCTGTCCTGTCCTGTAGATGGTAGCACTACCCCTGGAGGGAAGTCCCAAGCATTTGGGCTGCTATAACATCCCTAATGAAAAAATCTCCACCATGTTTCTCTGCCTTGGAAGGCTGGATCTTTGGACTCCTTTCCAATGGAGCTTCCTAGTCCCCATCTCTTTACATTGTGTACTTTCTAATTCAATTGCAGGTCACATGCTGGATCTCTTGAAATCCCGTGGCAAGAATGGAGCACTTGCTTTTCTGGAAAGCCTGAAACTCCACAGCCCAGACATCTACGTGCTCATCACTGGCTTAGAGCCTTCCATAGACCACAACCATTTCAGTGGTAAGCTTTTCTGTTTCCCATGCTCTGCCCACTTCTACAGAGCTCTTCCTCTGGATCTGGCTGTTGAGCAAATTTTCAACCCCAGAGTTACAATCAGAGTTGGCCCAAGACAATTTGCTGCCTAAGGCAAAAGAAAAAATGGTGCTTCCCTCCTCCATTCCAGGTACAAAAGCAGACTGGGCTGCTGGCTGGGCTGTTGAATCTGACTTCACCATTGTTGGCAGGACAATGTCCTCCACCACACCTGAAAGCAGCAAGCTAGTTAAGGGGTGCAAAAGAGGCTGTCTTCCAAGACTGGGGAATGGCGGGGGGGGGGGGGCAGGAGGAACATCTGTGGGGATGCCACTGCTGCCTCATAGCATCTGCCACCTGAGGCAAGTTGCCTCACTCTGCCTAACAGTAGGGCTGTCCCTGGTTGTAACTGTACAGCAAGTCCTCAGGTGAGTGACAAAGACAACTTTGGCCTGGGGTCAGATAGTATTGGATGGTTTATAAAAACCTTAAATAAATAAATAAACAAACAAAACAAAACAAAATTGTGACATCTGAGGCAGAAAAGCAAGTGGCGGTTCTTCCACATGCACGGCAATCCCCACCCAGCCTCGGCACACTCTCCTGGTAGTAAAAATATAATCAATAGCTATTTGCTGCCTTTCAGTAGTGCCCACATTCTGCTCCCTGAGGCAGAAGCCTTACTCTAATTTTAATATGTAGTTGACTTAATTTATGTTAAACTTTTGTATTTGTTTGAATGACTTAATGTTGTGAGCTGCCTAGAGTCCCAATCTCTTGGAATTGGCGGGATATAGCTATAGATGTAATACTCTGTTTGGGCCTGGGCCTGGGCCTGGGCAAAGGCCTAATTCTTCTCTCCCTGCTTAGACCTGATTGAGAGCTCCCAGCTGACAGAGTGCCTGGCCAAGGCGGTGAGCAGCCTGCAGGAGGAGCTGAGCCAGGAGAAGCGGCAGAAGCTGTCCCTCCTCCAGCACTGCCGCAAGTTGAAGGAGAACACTGCCTGCCTGGAAGCCCAGGCCGAAAGCCTGCAGGGCATCGAGGCCGAGTGTAACCGCATGAAGAGGGAGCTCAGTGCCCACTTCCATGAGGCGCTTAAGCTTAAGGACGAACTTTATGGCCTGTCCCTACGCTACAGCAGCGCCCTGCAGGAGAAGGACCTGGCGATCACCCGCTGCCACAGTCTGCAGGAAGAGGTGCGGTGGGTCGTGGAACACAGCTGGGTCCATGGCATTGTGCTGGGGAGCAGGTGCCCCACTTTACAGAGGACAGTCCTCTGTTTTGAAGGCAGCCAGTTCAAATATAAAGAACCCTACGAAGGGAGAGCAGGGGACTTGAAATTCCCTGTTAATAATGGTTAGCAGTGGAATAGCAGACTGAGTAGGCAGGTATACAGAACAGCTGCTCAGTCTTCTCCACAATAGTGAGAGGTATTGCATTTCTATTCAAATTATAACCATTATTTCCAAAGAGGAAAATAGCATGTACACATTTTATGCAAATCCATGTTCTTTTTCTGACCTCTGGTCACTCTACATTGGGTTAGCAGCAACAGGCTCTCATTTGTGATGATGAGTGAGGATTACATGTCTTGTATTCCTGAAATTTTCAGAATCTTTTACCATTACTCAAAATTCAGTGATTAAGGTGGAGGCTCCTTAGCCAAAACCTCATAATATTTTTTCTGGTAATCTTTAGCCCTCTGCATTGGCCCTTGTTTACTACTTGGTGTCCTAGAATCAAACCTGGACCCAGTTATTTTATTTATTTATTTATTTATTAAAACATTTTTAATATGTTTAATAATTTTACTGGCTGAGGTGAAGGACAAAAATAGAGGAGACTTCCATGTGATTTTTATTTCATACTGGTGCTGAGACAGCATCCTTCTGAAGGGAGCAGGCTATCTTAGGCAGCACAGAGTATGGCCCATACTGCTCTGTCCTTCAGCATCTTCCCACCCCTCCCCTCCCCACCCCGTGCTCCCACTTCCTAGTGGGTACCTCATTCTGCCATATAGGAAGTGTCAGCTTACATGGATGGTCCAGCTCAGTATCTTGTCTCCCAGGTACAGCAATTTATGCTGCAGACTAAAACAAAAAACATAACCTTTTTACCCATTAGAGAACTGAAGAGAGGTCATCTGGTCATCAAATTGCCTTAGTGCAACTTGTAATGCATACAAATCTATTTAAGTGCCTAGAAGTGATATAACAAGCACATCTAAAGAGATCTTCCATGTTATGTGATTATGATGGAGGTCTCTTAATTTCCATCTGCTAGGAGAGAGTAGGGATTCCTAAAAGATCAGCAAAATTGTACAGAAATGCCTGGTTTCCTGCACATATCAGCTTATATGCTGGGTAGTATTAGTTAAATGGGATTAGGTGATGGGCTAAAAGAACCCCCAGTCTCTAGGATTGCACACCTTTGCCCTCTTCCCCCCATGCTGTGGCTGGTCTTACCTTTGCGATGTTTAGCTGGTATTGTTGCAGAACAGGTTGTGGAACACTGACAGTGCAGAGTTGGTGCTCACAAGTGAGAACTGAAATAACACCTTACAATGAAAGTACCCTCAGCTCCTGCTAGGAGGTGTTCCAGTCTAGGGCTCCACCCGCCAGCCATATCTCAAGCGTTTGAGACCCCAGCAAGGCATTCCACACCCTCCTCCCTCTTGACTTTTTGCTTTCTTTTTTCAGCTGACATGCAAACCTTCCATGGACACTGAGCATGCTCAATCCTCAATGCCCTATAGGTTCAAAAGGAGCATTTCTTTCATATTTCTGCAACCCTTGAGCATGCTGATAGTAGCCTCTTGCTTCTCAGTCATCTTGGTACAATTTCTGTGGTAGCTCACTGCATGGTGTAGTGGTTAGAGTGTTGGACTAGGGGTTGGAAGGGTTCTAGACCCCACTCATCCAGAAGCTGACCGGGTCAGTCACAGACGCTCAGCCTAACCTCCCTCGCAGGGCTGTTGTTGTGAGGATGAAATAGAGTGGGAGTATGCCATCTTGCAAGAAGAAAAAAAAGGCCAGATATTATTGTAAAAATAAATACAGGCATTTATACATACATACTATTTTTTCCTGGGAAAAATAGGACAGTTTGAGCATAGGGGTTTTTCCCATAGAAGCTAGAACTGCAGGAGAGGGCTGAGGTCCCATGAAAGCTAAAAATAACACAATCATCTGTTCCATGCAGAAAAAATTGATATAGATATAATAATAAATAATTTCTAAAATAGTGAATGATAATCTATCTGCATTCTTAAACCCTCAGGTGATCTCATATTCCACAGTGACCAGCACAAACAATTTTCCAAATGTTTCACATTTTAGTCTTGATCATTACTGCTTCTTTCCTTCTGTCTTCCTGTCCATCGTAGCTTTACTTGATGAAGCAGGACTTACAACGAGCCCAGATGGCATCCTACTGTGAAAGGGAGAGGTCCTCAAGGACTGCTGGGGACCTGCAGCCACAAGTGGATGAACTTCGGATGCTGAGAGAAGAGAATGAGCGTCTCAAGTCACTGGTGGAGCTGGAAACCTTCAGTGTGGTAAAAGATTTCTACAAAGGACATCTGTCTGTCTGTCTGTCTGTCTGGCTGGCTGTCTGTCTATCTATCTATCTATCGCGTTTATATACCACCCCAATAGCCCAGAGAGCTCTCTGGGTGGTTTACAAACATTAAAACCCCACCAATCCTAAAATAAATAAATTGGCTACACCACGACTGAGTATAAAATAACATGGTTAAAATGAATTAAATAAATAAATATACCATTAAAATTAATTAACTTTAAAATATTGGTTAATAAAAACATCTTGACCTGGCGCCAAAAAGCATATAATGACAGTGCCAGGTGGACCTCTCTAGGAAGCACATTCCAACCTATGCAGCAGATGCAACTTGATTCTACAGTTTATTTCCTTTCTCTAGTTGTTCCTTGGATCTTAGTGCAGTGGGGGAGTTAGGGATGTTTAAGAGAAAATTCTTAACAGTCAGGAACAATCAAGAATTCTTAACAGGAAGCCTGCGCAAGTCAGTTGGTGTAAGAGAACCAAAGCAGAGACTCTGCCTGAGGCATGTATTATGTGCTCATGATTCTCACTCACAGCAGTCTGCAGGTGCTGTACACAGTGCTGTCATCCTCCAGAGCCTCTTCTGTGTTTTCCAAGCATTTCTGTAGCTCTTTTTAGATGAGGAGAGGTGGAATAAACCAGAATGAGAAGCCTATGTATTTGCACAATGCTGTTATACTGCAACTGCTGCTTTGTGGCTGTGTAACAAAATACAGAGAAAGACAAAGACTCACAACCTGGTGGGAGACAATCTTAATCCAGCAAAGTATCTGGAAGCAGAACACTTGGTGAAGTGGTAGGGAAGCCCTCAGGATAGGTGCACCTGCTGAAGTGCATTGGCTCAAAGGCATCTTCTTACAAACATAAACCAGGGACATTTCTGCAATTTGGGGTGGGGATGTTGTTTGCACACATTTCAGCAAACTGAGGATGGATTTGTCATGCACACATCTCCTGCAGCTGCATAGTGTTCTGCTATATTTGCAGTTCAGCCATGGTGGCCCTTGCCAACCTTGTGGGTTGCACTTTTGTTCTTGCCTCCCTGGGCAGGGTCTTCTCTAATGAACTTTCCTCATTCATCCAGGTCCAGAAGGACATTCTAGAGCAGAACCTTGATGATGCTCTGGAAGGCAAACAAGAGCTTCTAAACCGTATCCACTCACTGAGGGAGCAGGCAGTGCGTGCAGAGAATCAGCGCAAACAGGTGAGCTTGCTACAGTGCCTGTGGGTACTTTTTCACAAAAAGGAAATATAAAGTTTCTTTCCAACCCATATGTCACATCAGGAGAGTTCAGCTAATGTACCTGTAGGAAGGCCTAATATCCTTCATGAAGACCATTAGGTGTGTCTAGTGCTATATAACTTGTGAGAACCAAGAGGCAGCCCTAGTTTCTCCTGTCTCCTTTGCTTATGTTGCAGTCACATGCCTCAGATCTCTACCCAGCTGGTAGCACAAGATTTGCCACCTTCTAATTTCAATGAATCCTCTAGCAGTTAGTGACACAGTAGAAAAGTGTGGGGCTACCCTCTTCTCAGGGGAAATCATGTTTTAAAGCTGACATCTTTCAAAGGAAAGGCTTACTTTCAAAACATGGTTTTGAAAGGGCTAACCTCTGTGTGTGTGTGTGAACATATGCATATGTCTATACTCCTATCAAAACACCAGTTTAAAAGCAAGTGTGAGCTTTGACAGCTAGCTGTCAAAACTGTCTGCTTCCATAAATGGGGTAAGTTTGTACTTTCCCAAGTACCTGGAGGTTCAGAAAAGGGTGGAAAAGGTACAGGACACTGAAAACTGCTGGATCCACATATTGAGGTGATAGGATCTTACCATGAAGGTTTAATGTTCACACCATCTCCTTTCATGAGGAAAGATCCATTTGCAACTTTGCTTTCACTTGACAGTTCACCTCTTGATAGCTGTTAGAGGAAAACAAAACAACAAATTCACCTATTTGCAGCCTTGTTTTATCAGTGTTCCTGAATGGTGTCTCCTGCACTTTGACAGAAGACATTTGTCAAGACATTGACAAAGGAAGGGTTATCATTTCAGACCCCCATAAGTGTACCAATGAGCATTTCCAAAAGACCACCACCACCATTACAGTATGCACAAATTTAAAGATGTTTTTAAATGTGCAAACTGCTACCATTAGAGAAATGCAGAAGTTTGCATACTGACTCAGTGTGGGACAAATTGAGTCAGTGCTGTAGGGGAGGGAATGGAATGGAATCTGGTTTGTGTGGTGGCGGGGGTGGCATAAACTGGAAAAGTCCATTGGATTTGCACTCTGCAGATGGAATTTCAACACATCTCTAGAGAAGAGTGTCAGATAACATTAAAAACAACAACCCTGCAATACAGTCTTGTGAGCCCTGGCTCCATTACACTTATATTTATAATGCAGCAAGAAAGTAATGGGGAAGTCAGTTCATCCATTCTGGGTTGATGTTCTGTAGTTCTTGGCTTGACATCATGGAGCATTTGTAGCACAACAATTAAGACCCTAGGCTTGTTTTATTTGCTGGTCAGTAATCAAGTGTATAATTATTGTACTGTATTATCGACCCTCAGCAACAAAGGAAAAGTCTGCAATTCTCATCTCACCCCTGAGCTCATTAGGTAGCTGTACACAAGCCACTAGCCCTCAGCTTTTCCCTGTATTTTAGTCTGTGCCATAAGATTAAAACTAAAACTAAAAACCTCACACAGGCAATGCCATACTGTTGTAAAGATGAGCAACACTATAAAGCTTTAGGGTGGGAAGTGAGATATAAAGCTATTCTCTTGCTAACTCTGCCTTAGAGGATTATTGTTGTGAGGGTAAGACTGAGAGGAGGAGAAATATATAAGCCACGAGTTCCTTGAAAGGAAAAAAGGTGGAATATGAATATAAAAAATGAACAAACCAACCTTGTGTCCCTTACACAGTGCTGGGAAGAAAAGGAACATACCCTGATTGAGTGCCGAAAGATGAAGATGGATTGTGAGATCTACAAGGAGAAAATCAGTGCCCTCCAGGCACAAATAGCTGACCTGCAGAAAGAAAGGGATCAGGTACCTGGATGTCTGGCCAGCAAGAAGAGGGAACTTTTTAAGGCAAATGATAGGGAAGTGGCCAAAACAAGGGAGATGATGTCTCGCCAGTTGCCTAAAATGTTGCAACTGCTGCATAAACCTGTCAAGCATTACTTGTAATATAACATTCCGTGACAGGACTTGGGCATATGTGGTTCTCATTGAGGATATAGCATGAGGGCAACTTGTGGTCTTCCAGATATTTTGGCCTACAACTCCTACAACCCTGGCCACTTTGGCTAATGGTGAGGGAACACAGGAATTGTTGCTCTCCATATATTTTGGCCTACAAGTTGCCCACGCCAGTATATCAGCAGGTGGAATCTAGTGGTTAAATATATTTCAACAGTTATTAGTTGAGCTTTTGTACGTCATATTATTCATATTGTGATGTGTTTGTATTTATGGTTTATTTTCTGTTTTTTTTTTTAAAAACGGGGGGACAGTTGTAATGAGACTGGTCATCTAAATCAGTCTTGGCTGATGAAACAGTCCCATCAATAGCTGTGATATTCAAAAGTCTGCATGCATCAAGAGTTGCAGAACCCAGACCAATAGAAAGGGTTTGCCTTAGTTCTATATTCATAGTCGAAGGAATGAGACCATCGCATAGCATTTTCATATAACGGATACTTTTCTACTTGGAAGTATTGTGATGATTGGAGTGGTATTTTCTGCTGGACACTCTCTGACTTTGTGTTGATGATCAGAACCCCAGAATAAATTATTCGTTGGATCCTTCTAAATGTTTTGATGTCTCTATGCATTCTGTATATGTCCCTGAAATGGTTTGTCTGCTTTCTCCCAAAGCCTTTGTTGATGGTGGGTTTCTGTCCTCTTCTCCTAGGCCTATAGTGCCAGAGACACTGCTCAGCTGGAAATTTCCCAGAGCCTTCTGGAGAAAGATTCACTCCGGCGCAAAGTCTTTGAACTCACTGATGAGATCTGCGAACTCAGGAAGCAGGTGGGCCAGAGCGGCTCAACCTTAATGGTGAGGTTTGAGTTGAGAATGAACCCTATGGACATGTGTATGTCAGGAGGAGATCAAGGAATAAGACTGATCTTCTATGTGATATGAAACAGTTGGCTTCCAGCATTAGTCTTAGACCTTATTCTTTAGACCAGCATTAGTCTTATTCAAAAGACAGCCTTGCAGCTGATGTATATTGGGTCTGTGTTAGGCCTACCAACTTCTCCACATACACCTACCTTCCTTCCTTCCTTCCTTCCTTTGCTAGATTTAACATATTCATGGAGAAACAATGAGGTGGAAAGTTTCACCTATTTCTTTTTGCATGTTAAGCCATTCTTGATTTAAAGGCACAGGTAAAGGGTCAGCAAAAATAGGTGGCACCCTTAGCTGTGGAGTATCTTGACTCTGCTCTCTATTGTACATCCCACTGTCCATCCTGTTTATTCACAAATAAATTAGTGTTTCTGTCCTATGGTTATATCTTACATAAAGGTGTATATCTCCTTCTATCCTGTCTCACTGATTCTTTCTAGTCTGCTTTGCCTGGACTCTCATTTGGACTGAGAAATACATATCAGGGCTTCCTGCTGTTTGACTTCTGCAGCTTCTTGTCCAGCTCTCTATATCTCTTCCCTGCACCTTTCCACAGGGCAGGGTGGTCTTCTGTCAGCTGAGGCACTCTTGTGTTCTGGACTAAAAGAGAGGTACACTTCATTCTTACAGTGGAAAAGGTTTATGCTCTCAGAGCTGTCCAAGCCCTGTGTTTCTGCATGAATTCCTTTGCCAGCTGTGCCTCTTGACTGGGCACAGAGACCCATGCGGAAATACAACAGTCAGCCCCCACTGAAGGCAGGCCATTCTGTTGTGCCATTGCATTGGGAGTAGGTGAAGGACCCAGTCACAGCTGATGCAAAGAAGGAGCAGGATGACTTGCCTCCAGTGAAGGTTAATTGGAAGGCAGGAAGCCCAGAGCAGTGAATTATGCTGACGAGGAAGGGCCATGGAGAGAATAGGGTTGCTGCCTCATGCAGATGGTGCTGAGTTGTGACCACCTCCCCAGCTGTTCCCTGCAGCCACCCCGCTCTGATGGAGGAGAGGGAGTATGGGCTGCTAGGCCTGCCTTTCTCTGCACCCCCAGGGGAGTGAGAGGATGCAGCCCCATCGCCAGTGTAGAAGGAAGAGTCATCCGCCACCTTCAGTATATGAAATGGGGGGTGGAGTGGGAATCCTGTCCTTTTCCGCGAGCTGCAAAACCACCGGGACCTGCCCTGTGCAGAGCTGCAGGATCCCTTGGGGGCCACCTTTTGGAGTGGGCCCTTTGGGCTCACAGAAGCTAATAGTGCTGTAATGCTTTGTTTCTCATGGCATGCTAGCAGTTCTCTTGTGATACATTTGTGTCCTTCAGAACCCAAGCTGGGAAGGGCTGCTCACAGAGGGTAAAAAAAAGGTGGCCACCTGCACTGCCAACAGCCAGGGAGTCGCCCCCTCCTAGGGTGCTGTTTCATATCTTGTGAGACAAGGACATCTCTATCTCTTGCTCTCACCACCACCACCTCTCACTCTACTTCTCTTTGCGTTTCTGTAGCACGGGCCTGCCAGCTCTGAGCCCAGACAGCATTGTCCTAGGAGGAAGCAGCGTCTGGTGCGCATGCATGCCATCTGCCCCCGGGATGACAGCCAGGACAGCTTTTTGAGCATGTCTGAGGTATGTAACTCACTCCCTCCCTCCCACCCCAACCCCTTCATATCTTCTCCACTTGCAAGGGGGTGGGGGGACATTGCAGGGGAGTGTCCATGTGGGAAGTGTTTTGCTAGTCCTTTCAGTTCTAGCAAGAGCCCAGTGGCCTTTCTCACAGGGCTGCATTCTTTAGGGCATAAAAACCCTGCCCTAAACTTTCTTCCCTGCCCTGCACTGCCATAATGGTGGAAGGGAAAAGGTGGGTTCAGCCATGGTGGCATGTTCTTACAGCCTTCTTCTATTTTGCAGTCTTGGTCTGATTTAAGCCACAGGTCAAGTCAAGAGCAAGCTGAGAGCTTCCGGTCATGCAGCCCACTCCCGCCTTGTAAACATTCTCTGCAGAGAAGAGCCAGGCAAGAGACCTCTTTCTCCAGGAGGTGAGCATGTCAGGGCAGTGCTGTGTTGTGGCCTGCCTGCCCTAACATCTGCACTTGAGTGTGTCAGAAATAGCAGTTGCTGGTGCTTGTGTTTAAAATGCAACTTTGAAACACTCTTTTCACAAGGGAGTTTTCTTTTCAAAGTTATTGCTGACTATACGCGCGCGTGTGTGTGTGCACTCCTTGTAAGCAAAATTGGAAGGGTAAATTTATTTATGGGCCTGAGCATTTTTACACATGTATGAAGCACAAAACAGGCTAGAGGTAGCCCTGTTCTGAATCAGAGCTCCCTCACTAAATAACACACATATATAGCTAATGGAAGCAGGATACTGGCAACCCCTTCAGAAACTTGCAGATTGAAGCAGCTGCTTCACTCTGACACCCTGGGTGGTTCATCCTCTTGGATCACACTCCTTTATTTTCTCTTCACATATTTCTTCCCCTGCAGCAGTTCCCAGGAGTTTCTGGAGGAGGATTTTGCTTTTACTTCTGAAGAGAAAGTGGAGGATCTGCCTTTTGATTATGAGATGCTTGGAAATGATGGTAAGATTTTCCCACAGAGAACAAACTTTTTTCAGCATTTGGTGCCTTCTTGGGCATGTGGAAGGGAGATCTGTTCTGCTTGGGAAACTGGATGTTTCACCTTATTTCATTATCACAGGGCAGAGTGATAATGAAAATGGCCTGTCTCCAAAGGACCCGCACTCAAGGATAGATCAAACCAATAATAAACACAAAAGAATCTCAATCTCTCTCTCTCTCTCTCTCTCTCTCTCTCTCTCTCTCTCTCTCTCTCTCTCTCTCTCTCTCTCTCTCTCTCTCTCTCTCTCTCACACACACACACACACACACACACACACACACACACACATTACTAAGACTGCAGATTCAATTCTGTGCTGAAGGGAAAAAAAGAGATGCTATTATTTCTGCATAGTGATTTATAATCTAGGCTGCTCCTTCCAATAGGTAGAATGAAGCATTTGCCTCAGGGACAGATGCTGTGAGGCAGTAGCAAAGAGCTAAAGGACACATCCTATGCCGAAATCTGTGTTTCATGTGGCCTAAGCTGCCCCATCATCAGTGCAGCAGACTGATTCATCTGCTGGTCCAGTTGGCTTTTGCGCATGGGTTTGACAGGGTCACCAGCCTTGTTTCAGGCAGCAAAATGCCTTGGAATGGCCCTGCTTATACTTAGGACCTAACACAATCAGTTAGCAATAAATTGCACTGTTTGCTTTTGGCTTCATTCCATTTTCTAAATATTTGCTTGGTGGAGAATATTAATTAAATGCCAGACAAAGCAATGATTGATCTATCATATAATACTCAGTAAGGTTTTTTTTTAAAAGAAGCATTTATAAACATACTTGTACCACTTTCATATAATATGAAAAAAAAAATCCAGACACTTTTCCTGCTCCAAGTTTTTCTAGTATTTTGACTGTGAGTTATAGTGTTCCTGCTTGGTGTTACTGTAATATTTTAAATTTTATTTGTATATGTTTGATATGTTATGGATTTAGCATTTTTTCCTGTTCCCTGCACAGGGAACTTATTGTTAATGGGATATATGAAACTCAACAACAACAACCTGTTATAACCATGGTAGCATCAAATATTCAGACTTGCCCTTCAGGTTGAGGCCAATTTTTTTCTACTTCAGCACTGTGATTCCACTAGAGGACAGGCACTACCAATGGAGGCTGATAAGCAGACCATGAAAATACTGCCCTTTCCCCTTTGCATAATTCTTCCAATTCTAATACCAGCACTTCATGAGAGAAATGAAAAGTGTGTGGAAACCTGCCAACATAAAAACTGCTCCTATTCTACATTCTGCGGCAGGGACAAATCCATCAGCACTGAAACATCTTTGAAGAACAGTCTGTATTCTTGCTTATCTTTGTTGTCCATAGACAAAGAACTGTAGTGAACACGCTCCAGTCCAAGATGACCACCTTAAAGCCCATTGGTTTCAGTGGGAGAGGCGGTCTTTCCTACTGATTTAAAAGGGAAATGAGCTCTGGCTGGATTGTTTGCAAGAATGATAAGGGATGGCAAGCATCATCTAGAAGGTAGAGAGCAGATAAAAACTGCCTGGAGACAGTGAGGAAGCCCTCAGTCACTAGCCAAGCCTTTGTGCAGAATGCAACACAGCCAGACTCTTGCTGCAAACATTATTACCCCTTGTTTATTGCTGGGTGTGCAGCTTTGTCCACTTATGTGGATGCCTGGGTTAGAGCCCCACAGGTGATAATGTTGTCATCTATTCAAACATTTCTTCCTTACAGGTAGCACCTCCTTATGGCTCCCCATGGACCCCTGCATCTCAGAGAGGTAAATGTCCTGTGCCACCAGAACATAGCTAGTTTTGGCCATGAGTATCCACAAGCTCAAGGCCAGAGTCAGTGGCAAGGGTGACAATGCCTGCTTCAACATCTGCATATCTCTGTCAGGGACAAAAGACAAGGGATGTGGCAAACTCATGCACTGGGGTCCAGCTGGAACAGTTTGCCCTTGCTAGTGGCAGCAAGGGCAAACTGCAGTTGTTACTGAAGGAATCCGTCTAAAGGCAAATGGCTGAAAGATGTAAGGGGTGAGGTGGGTACAAAAAGGCAGTAAGTGGAGAGATCTGCAAGCTATGACTAGATGGTAGCTGCTTGTTTGGGACTGGGGCAGGATCCAAGTGGAGGGAAGGAAACAGGGAGACATACGTGTGGGAGGAACCAGTGCATGCTTCTTCTCACTGCTGCATTTTCCTCTTCTCAGTGTGCCCATGCGCCGGCGTCTTGCACAGCGCTTCACAAGCCGCATCACCACCATTGCCTTCCAAGCCAATGCTTTGCTGAAACAGATCAGCATCATTGGAGGCAACCAGACTGGCATCTTCATTCATCAGGTTAAACCTGGCTCTGCTGCTGATGAGATGTCCTTGTCGCCAGGCCAGCAGATCATACTGGTAAGATGCAATCATCTCTGCCGTGCAAATCCCATTCTCAGTCTCTTCTGTGCCTCTAAGGATCTTTGTCTTTTCCCTGTAGAAATAACATACTTCCATTCAAACAATTTACTCATTCCAACCACACCTTAACCTATGTAAGGAAAGGGCCAGGGAATGACCAGCTGACATGCATTCTTTGCTGGGGAAGAAAACGGAAGAAAAAAAGCACATTGATAGTCAGGGATGGTATTTCAAGGGCTGCTTGCATTGTTGTGGTTATGTTCCGTGGAAGCACCTCATGGCAGTGCCAACAGCTGGGCCCATAAGCATCATCACACAAAATATTGTGCTTGCTGTCACCATATTTTGTGAACTGCCCAGAGAGCCTTTCAGCAACTGGGTGGTAAATAAATAAACAATCTTTATTTATTTATTCCACTACACAGCAAAAAAGTTCCAAGAGCAGTTCACATATAATCAGTCCAAGAAGAATATCTAAAGACACAACACACAAGGGAAATGGAAGTGGGAGGGAAGAAGAAAAGACTTTTTCTTTTCCAGCAGGGCTGATGGAAAGGCCCTGGTTCACCTTCTCATCTTCTTCCCTACAGCTTTGTTTGAATGGCTGCTGATGGTGTCAGTAATTCTCTAGCAACTCAGTTTAGTAGTGTGAGCAGTGGGAAGCTGTAGCTTCCCTGCATCTGAAGTACTTGTTGGCTACATTTTGTCAGAATTATGAGCAAGAAGTGAGTCATGGCTGAGCAGGGATGACAGCTTCTGGACAGGCCCTGAACGTAACCCTACACTTGCCAAGATGATATCCACTGACAGCAGATGCTACCCAGAGTGAGACTGTACATGTCTCTGACAGGTACAATCCCTGGGTTGCCTTTAGAGTGGTAGCTTTCTACAACACATGAGAAATCCAGTGCCCCATTGCAAATAACTGGCCAAAATGCTCACTTGAAGAGATTGCTCTGGGGCAGGGAAACACATTCCCGATTACTGCGCACAGCCCTAAATTAAGACATTCAGCTTGGCTTCTTCTGCTTCAGAGTCCCTGCATGGGGCTTCTGTGTCCCTTCTCCATTATATAGATTGGGCCTGCTCCTCCTACAAAAGGGCCTTCAGAGATGGTGGAATGAGATCCTGAGGAGGGGCCAGAATGTTCAGCTCAAAGATCCAGGCCTCAGTCTAGGCCCAGAGATAGGCCAGGCAGCCACTGAAAATTAGGCAGCTTCAAATTATGTGGGAAAGAAATGGGCAGGGCAGACCTAACATCATTAATCCAAGGAGACGGCACCAGGTTGATGGTGGGTTGTGGGGACTGAGAAGCACCAGGCGCTCTAAGTGAGCTCTAAGTGAGCAACTCCTAAGCTGGAGGATCCATCATGAAGCTGTGATTTGCTCTGTTAAGTTTGAAAGGGAGCAGGGATATTCAATTTGGAATCAACATCTTGTTATAAGTCGCCTAGGCAGGTACTCTAACTTTACATGTTTCTTTTGTTATGTACATTGGCAACACTCTTCTTTTGTACTACAAAGTCAGCCTAGCTGGTCAGCTTTAACATAAAGCCTTTTAGTTAGAAAGACGTTGACCTGATCTGCTTGGAAGGAGGGGAACAACAGGTGAGACACCAACTGGGTTGTCATCAGGCACTTCCCACAAAGGCTTCCTTGTGATCAAGTACAGCAAAGGACTCTCCTCTACCCCAGCTTGTCTGTACTGCAACAGATAGGACCGCCTGCCCTCCCAGGTCTGGTCACCTTCCCAGGTTCCTGCAGGCCACAAAATGGGCTTTTAATTCTTCTAAGCTTTGAACCTTTTTGATTTTGAAGGTGGATTATGGAGTCATCGAGCCAGGATTCAAAGCTGTCCTGGAGGATGCAACACTTGAGGAAGCCCTTGCGATCCTGGAGAGGGTAAATGGCTTCTGCTGCCTGTCTGTGAGGCCCAACATGGAGGGTAAGGCTACCTGCTTGCCTGCTCTGTTGGAAAGGCAAAAGGTCACTGTGCATTAGCCTCAGGCTGACTGTGCTTCTCCAAAGGATGTTCTGTCATGGCAAAGGTGGACGGCAGACCTGTGGACACCTTTAAGGGTGGCATCCTGCAAAACAGACCAAAGAAAATTCCATCGGGAGGGTCTCCTGCACTTGCCCAGTTGTAGCAAATGTAAACTGTGCAAGAGTGTTTCATTGAGAACTGTACTAAACAACCTTTTGGTGATTTGAGCCTCATGTTAATCACTGTGAGTGAGGAGATGCTATCCAGGTTTTCTCTTTCAGGCAGCAAAATGTCTTGGGCTGACCCTTGTTATCTTACTGGCCATGGACAGGGTCCGCAGTGCTCCTCATTGGGAAACAGTGGTGTTGGCATCCTCTGCACAGCCTTTCATCCCACCCTGTGCTACAGTTACTCTCTTGCACACAAACACACCACTTCTAATACTTTCTGCCCCACCAGGTTACAAGAAGCTGCTGAGTGACCTCCACTCCAAACTGGTGATGTCTGGTGACTCTTTCTACATTCGGTCCAACCTGTGCCTTGAGAAACAGGCAGCTGGGGAGCTTCTGGTGGGGTGCAATGACATTCTGCACATCACTGACACCATGTGCCAGGGCCAAGCCCAGTGGAGTGCCTGTCAGGTGAACCCCTACACCATGAAGGACATGGATGCTGGAACCATCCCCAACTACTGCCAGTAGGTATCACCCTTTGAACACTCTAGCCTGTGTGCGATGCTTCTCACCATATAGCGCAATGGCCAATGTTTTATCTCACTCCTCAGCTGCATAGGCTGAACTGTTTAGGATTTTAATATAGCAAGAGGTATGAAAATATTGTAATTGCTAATCAAATAAATAGAAAAGCTCCTGGAACAGCTGCCATGCAATCAATAAAAGAAAACAGTCCTTGCCTGTAGACTTACAGTCTAAAGAGATGTGATATGCAAATAAAAAGGGATGGATAGGAAGAGGGAAAAGCAGTGATCCTTTCGTTACAGCATGCTGGCAATGTCAGGACCTGCTGGTGGTGGCCGTTAATGGAAGAGGAGCCCCATGAGGAGGGCTCTTCAGCAGGGCTGCCTTGCTTGCCCCCTATCTCCCTCAAGCCTGCTCCCTTCTTCCTAACATATTCCTGCCCCTATTCTAGGGCACAGCAGCAGCTCATCACCTTGATCCAGGAGCTGGCCCAGAAGAGCACGGTTTCTCGCAAGGTAATGGGGGGATCCTATGACACACAAGTGATCATGACCTCTAGCCAGCATGATAGCAGGCACACCCAGGAGGAAACAACCTGTATGTATGTATGTATGTATGTTCTAGCCCACCCTTTTCCCACAAGGAACCTATGGAATAATCTTGAGCAAACTCTATCAAAAACTCTCCCTAGTGGTTCTGGCTAGTTGTGCCACATAAGTCCTAAAGTCATCTTGCTTCTGTTTCTTCCTCCATTTCCTGCTTTGGAGTCATGAGTTATTGTCACTGAAACTAAACTGACAAGCATTTGTTGTGAACAGCAGTCTTCAGTAATAAAATTTTCACCTCCAAGTCTGAACAAATGCCATTTTCCTTTTAAACTGGAGAAGACAGCACCTAGAGAGAGAATGCAACATAGACTAACACAGTTCCTCCAGTTAGTAATATCTGGTAGGATGTCTGGATCATGAACACTTGGCCTTGTAGCCACTTGGGGGTACTGGTCTGATTAATATGGTATATTCCTGAACAGACCCATATCTTTGGGGGTCTAATGTAATGCCTTCTTTTCTGTATTGTAGAATTCTGGGGTACAACCTAAGATGGTGCGAATTGTGAGCACTGATAACAACAAGATCAACCCACTGTGGGCATCCATGGACTGCACTTTGTCAGACTCCAACAAGCCAAATGGTGAGCTCAGCCTAGTGAAATATTGTTGAGTGTTGCTAAGGAGAAAATCGCCCGTCTGCTGGCAATGCATTGTGCAGGCATAGGCGGAACACAGCTCTGTAACATTTTTTATACCCATTTCATTTTGCTGCTACTTTCTGTCCCTAAAGCTCCCATTTTAATATCTCATGTAACAGATGAGAGGCATTTTTTCCTCAAAACTAGAAACTAGTGAGATTTTCTAACACCAACCCAAATAAGACGAAATACCCATTCCACGAGTTCTGCAGCAACCCACCTACCAGGCTTAATATTAGCTGCTTTCAGTTGCTATTGGGCATCTGGGTTTACATATCTGTGACAGGATGCTGAAGAATCAGGTGACACATCCTTCCTCCTGGAAAATGTGAAGTGGGACACTTGGTAAATGCCTCTAAATACTCCCTCTTAAAAATGCAGCTCCAGTTCAAGTGGCTCAGGGGCAGATGAGGCTCTGGTATTATTCTCCAGCCTTTTCTATAGTGGTATGCTTGCCCTTTGCTTCTCTTTCTTGTCTGTTAGTGAGCCCCAGAAGCAGCCTTCACACCAGGCGCTGTGTCAGTCTGATGCCATACACTTTGGTCAGGCCTTGCAGACCTGGCCGGCCACGTCCAGTCCTCATGGTACCTGCACTGGTGGGGAGGATCCTAGCTGACAAGCTATGCCTGTCCAAGGGCTTTGAGAAATGTCCAGCAGGTATGTCTGAGCTGGGGTTGACTTTGTTTTAGGTGAACTTTTGCAGGGGAATTGTTGGGTGACCCATGGGCCTTTGGGCCACATTCACTGAATGGAAGAGGCAAGTGGAAGTGCCTCAGCTAACCGAATCAGGTGGTGGTGGTGGTTCGTGCTCTGATAAATGTCTCCAGTCCCTGTGGCAGCCACTGCCTCCTCCTGAAACACACAGTTTGCCAATTCTTTCTTCTGTCACTCTAGCTGTGTCACCAATAAGATCTGAGAGACAAGGGGATCTAACTTGGGATAATTCAGAAGTGTGCCTTTTGACCTGTTTCATTCCTGCTTCTTACAGAGCCACAAAGTGAACTGCAGAGCAGAGATCCCTTGCCTGAAACAAGGGAGTTGAATAGCAGCCGTTGTGTCCCTCGTCAGGCTCTAGAAGAGCTAATGCAAAAGGTGGGGGCAAAGATGTGGCACTGGGATACCGGTGCCATGAGCTCTAGAAGGGGACCAGGACTAGGGGTGCCCATTGCCCAGTGTAATGCACACACTTCAACCCCTCACTCTGTCCCCTAGGAAGTGCATGGCTGGCTGGACCTTGGCCTGGAGAGCGTGCAGGAACTTCTGGCTATGGAGATCTATCCCATTATTATCCTGGTCACCATCAGTGAGAAGAATGGCAAGAAGTTCAGGTATGCTGCAGCTCTGGAGGAGCTGGCTCCAAATTCTCCTACTTTGATAAATGGTTGTAGAACAGCCTTTTCTCTTTGGGGCCACTGCAATTCAAGATGCCAGTATAGAACTTGGGTATGTCACTGCACCCCCTCATGAAAGAGAACTGTATGTGGTAGGGAAGCTAATTTCTTGTGCCACTTGGATAGATTCAGCACACCCAACCCTGATATTGGGAAGCCTTCTTAGCATAGCCACCATTCCTCATCCCCTTTGAAAAACAAGTTTGAACAAATTTGCCTCTTCTTCTATGGCTGTTTAGGCCTCTGCCTTTCACTGGCCTATGTAACATAAAACGACGGTAAGAGATTTAAGTCTCTCCTTCTAGCTTGACATTTCCATGCAAATGGCTTGCATTCCAGGAAAGCCCTGCAACGCCTTGGCACAACAGAGGAACAACTTTTGGACAGTGCTCGGAAAGAGGAGGTTCAGCTGGAGACCATGGCCTGCCTGCATGGCACCATCACCCCAGATGCCTGGAGTGACCTTGAAGCTCTCAGCAGCTGTGTCCGCTTGGCTGTTGCTGACGAGCAGAAGAAAGTGGTGTGGGTGGAACAAATGCCTCATTGATGCCCACTGGAAATTAATGTGCCCCACAGTGATCATTTCTCATGAGCCCCATAAAAGCTTGAGGAAGCTTTTCACAAGAATCAAGAGGAACTGGGGAAATGCTGTAATCTTAGCAGCGGTGAAGAATTAATGAGCAATTGGTGTTTCATCAATGAATAAGAAACATGTTCACTTGTTTCTCAGACTTTTTGAACTCAACAGTCTCTCCCCTTCCAAGCTCACTCTACTTTTGCCATCCACCTTGACCGTATATTTGTTGGGTGATTGCACTGAGAGCCCAACAAATACCCATAGATGAGATATGTGAGGCAAGATAAATCCACAACGCAATAACTGTGCCCATCCCACACTTGAAGGTTGACAACTATCATGCCTGCCCCTTGTAGTTGTAGTCTAGCAATAGCTTGAGGGCCAAAGGGTCTCCACGCCTGAGCTCCATGGCTATTTAGGGTTTGCATTTTAAAACAGGAACGCATAACTTCCCCTGCTTCTCTTCCCCATTCACTTGCTTGACTCCAGTTCCACTTGCACACCAAGTTGTGAGGGTACGCAGGATGAGCATCACTGCTGTGTGGAAAGCTAGGGCTTCTCTGCAGAAGGCATTCCCTATGTACTTGTGATCCCTCCCTCAGAGAAGTTTGTGGGGTCTTTTCATGATGTCATAATCCTGCAGGATTACAGAAAACATAATCTCATGTTTTCCAGCCTTTCACAGGGTTTTTTTTCCCGTTGAACAAGAAATGTCTGAGAATTACATTTTAAACTGCAACATACCAGAATTGAAGCCTCCTGAAATGGCTCAAATCTGCTATACTGCTGGTATACCACAATGCCACCTTGTGTTTGGTAGACTGGGATATGATTTCTGTTGGTACCTCATAAGGGCAAGTGTATATTGAGAAGGAAGGGTGGAAACAAGTGCTAGAATTCATAAAAGGTTTCGTACTCCACTTCAGGGCAGAGGAAGGCCACTGAAGTTGTAATTTATAAAAAGTGCTGTGCAGCTACATTTTGGTGATTGGTAAATTGGACAAGGTTTTCGCAAACAGATGTTTATTCCACAAAGTTATCCTGTTAACATCTAAAATTCATGTTCAGAAATATGGTTGCCCTGTTTCTGTTCCACTGAACATCAATAGGTTGTTCAGCACAGCAAAAGCTCATGGGGTGTAAGCATGCTGGCTTGCATGGCTTGTATCCAATAGTATACAGTATCAATCAAAGGTGGACAACTTGTGGCCCTCCAGCTGTTTCGGCTACAACTCAATAGGCCCACGGCACTGGCTATGCTGCAGGACTTTCTCCCATCTGAACATGCCTCCAGTCATGTACTTAGGTTACTGCCCTATGTACCTAGGACCTGAGAGTCTATTCCATTGAATTTGGAGCTTACTTCTGAATAGACATATATAGAATTGCACCAAGATCTCAACAGACATATCATGCATGAATGGGGGTGGGCTGTACAATTTGCACTGGCCATCATCACATGGCCAGTGCAATCCTTAGCATAGATGTGAGCACACTGTCTCTCTTTCCTCATATCCCGGATCACTCTGGCAGTCTCCCAGCACTTGCTTCTCAAACATGCACAACCACAGGTGTGAATGATGGAGCCTGTAGCTACTATATATTGTCTACTATGCCGTTGTTCCTTATCTGGTTTCCTTCCATTTCCTCTGACTTATAAAGTAAGGCTCATAAAACAAGGACCTGATTTCATTGTATACTGTTGTTAGATGACTGAATTATCATTGTGCTAAATTAAATTATTGCTGACATTTCCTACAATATGCGTTTATTATCTACCATGGACATGCACAGTAATGCTCACAAGGAGTCATCAGCACAGTGAAGCTCTCATGACCCACACAAAGAAACGAGCATCAGGACAAGACTCTTCATCTGCTGGAGTTGGTTACGGCTGTGTTTTGCACCTTCCAGAAGATGCCACATTAAAACTCAGTTTGATCTTACTGTTTTTAACACCGTGCAGTTGTCTAATAGGCTGGTACCACCCTAGAATAGATGCAGGAAGTTGCTTATAGCCTCACCTGTGCTGTGCATACCTGCTTGCCACCATGCAGGACATTTTGGAATAGGACGCTCTTGAGCATCTCCCCCAAATGTACTCCAAGGTGGTGCAATCCTGGGAGAAGACAGAATCATGAACTCACTGCAAGTTTTGAACCAAACTTAGCCTGGCCCTACCCATATTTCCAAAAAAGGCACAATTTCTGACACAGAAACCAGTCTTGGTGGGACCAGCCCATTTGCACTCTGGTTGTGCCACGGCGACAGCATTATCTAGATCAGGTGCTGAGACATCTGTCGGGCACCTGTAGGAATCTTTTGGCAGCAAACTGTTTGGAAAAGGTAGATTTGAGGTCGTTAAAAGCAGGTTGGCGTCCACTTCTGTGGCTGCCAATCTTGCCCCACATTTGACTGCAGTCCCTTGCTCAACTTCCCCACTTGCTTCCCCCTCTTCAATTCTCCAAACTTCAGAGTTTGCAAGTCACATCCAAGTCCATTGTTCTGCAGCGGATTGTTTCCTGTTGCTGTTCTTCTGAATGAAGAAGTACCACAAAGGAGAAGTAACAAGAAAATCACAGTTCATTGTGGAGGGGCCGGCACTGGGGGCTGGGCCTATCCTCCAGGACACCATTGGGCACACACACCCAGGGGTCGTCAGTCTCCCACTGCCACTTCAGCAGCTGCCCCCGGAGCTCCTCCACGGCTTGCGCATAGCGGGGGTCAGCAGCCAAGTTGCGGCTCTCGGTAGGGTCAACGCTGTGATCGTACAGCTCCCAGCGTTCTCGGTAGTAGTAGCTGTGCAGTGTCTTGTTCCAATGAGTGGGCTGCCCTGCCTGGGTCCTGTTGAGCAGGTCCTGGAATGTGGGCGAAACATAGAAGTCCTGGTCGATGGGGAAGGGCGTGCGATTCTGCAGGTTGTGAATGAAGCGCAGGGGGCCATGTTGCACAGCCCGCATTGGATAGTGCATGGTCACCTCGTGCAAGCTCTGGCTTGCAAATGCCGTTGCCCAGGGCGGCTCCAGTGACAGGGCTGGCAGCAGGGACTTCCCAGTGAGCTGCACGATCCGCTTGCCAAAGAGGCTGTAACTGGGATATGGCACAGAGAACCAGTCCAGGATGGTGGGGGTGACGTCTGCGGAGAGAAGGGGGAAGGAAGAGTATGAAGCACAGTCCCAGTGCAGGTGGTGGAGTGGGAATCTTGCCACAGGCACAACTTGGCAGGGCAGGAGCCAGGTCAGATACTCCTGGGTCTTACAGAAAGGCCGTTGTTTCCTGCAAAGCATCTCTGGTTCTGGTGTCCTCCTTTGCCATTTGTAGTGTACACACTGTGCGTTTGAAAAGACACTTCGGAATGGGAGGACAGACAAACCCCCCAAAGTTACAAGGGATGCCAGCTGCAGGAAGGGGCCTACCTTCTGCAATCAGTACCTTCCCCCTTCCCGAAGATATCAAGAGACAGGGTATGCCTGCTCCTCTCTCCCTCCAGAACAAGGATAGCTGGGGATCTCAGAACAGAGGAGCACTAGTGGGGAGCCATTTCACAGCTGCCAGGGCTTTCAGCACATCTAAGCCCCCTTCCGCCATGAGAAGCACACAGTCACTTTGCAGCAGCTCTTACCCAACAGGCTGGCATAGGCGTTGCTGACCTGGCCCCAGCGCGCAGGGTGCTCGGGGGAGGAGATGAGCAGGGGCTCGGCGGTGCCTGACCAGTACAGGTTAGTTCTACCGCTGGGGAAAGGAATGCCATTGTCCGAGGTGTAGATCACCAGAGTACTGTTGAGGAAGCCAGCGGTGTGTAGTTCCTCCAGGATAAGGCCAATGCCTGCATATTCCACAGAAAAGGAATGAATGGCCTGGGTGTTCATCTGTATCTAATGCATGGAGCAAATTAACAGCAGCAGTGATCTCCACCATTGTGGTGCAGAGTGCCATACATCTGATCTAGATGCTGGTGGGGAGGGGGGTGGCAATCTAGATCAAGCACCAGGGACAGGAAATGATCAAGACCAGAACATCAAAACGAATTGGTATAATGCAATTGCTCCAGAACTAGGCACGTTTTCAAAAAGAAGATTCCTAGGAGTCTAACCACCACCAAAAAGCTTGGGTGTACCTGATGGCCCCAAGCAACCCCTTGATCTTCATGCATTCTCGCAAAGCAGACATTTACCCAGAAGACTGCCTTTGGTCCTTAAGCTTAAGAAATATTACTCTGCATGTTAAGTGGGCCAAAATACATCAAGCCCACCCTAAACATTCCTAGGACTTCAGGAGCACTGCAACCCTATCCTTCCCTCCCCCCACAAGCACTCCATTCAGAAGGACTGCTCTGATTTATAGCTGTCTACCTTGATCCATGCGCCCGATGGTTGTGTACTGAGCAGCCAAATCTGCACGGGCAGCTGGTGTGTCCTGTACAAAATATGGGACCTGAGAGCAGAAAGGAAAGTGACTGTGACTAGATGTCACAGTAGAAGGGAAACCTGTAGAGGGAACAAAGGCCAGCAAGTCTACTGAGAAACTGCAGCAGCAGCTATAGGAATGCCCCGAATGCTGGGGTTGGCAAGCTCCAGGGCAACTCAGCACAAGTCGCCTGAGGCTTTCCTTCAGGTTTGCCAATGGGGAAGGAGAGGGGATGTTGCTCTTGGCATCAGGCACACACTCCTGGGACTCACAGGGGAGAAACAAATCCCATGCTCACCTGCACTTGATTTGGGCTGTAATACTGGGGCTTCCAGTCTGGGATCCAGCCCATCCCACTCTTGCCATTGCCGAACTTCTCACAGAAGGCTCCATACTGAGGCTGAGAGTGGCCACAGCGGTGAGGATCATGGAAAGCAACATACAGGAAGAAAGGCCTGACGAGTGAGAGGAAGGTGTGAATGTGATCAAGGGCCTTGCATATATGCACTGTCCACCAATTCTAACAGCAGCCTTCTGGAAGGTCTCTAGTACTCTGGAAACCCCTCTTTTCCTAATCACCATTCCTACACCCCCTCCCTTCAGTTATTCTAACGCTCTACTAAAAGATTTTGTTTCTCCAGCTCTCCTTTTTGTCCTTTGCGCTTGCACCGATATCCCTGCAGCAAACATGTAACTATGTGCATCCTTTGACAGCTGCATACATGTGACTGCAAAGGAAGTGATTCTGTAATGTAATTCCAGCACCAGGTGATGGACCCTTACTTCTCATCCTGGCTGTGGAGGAATTTCCGAACAAGCAGCTTGATTCTGGTGATGTTTCTCCCCACCTGCAGGACGGACTCATTCTCCTCTGTGTAGGCAAAGTCAAAGGGATACACAGCCTCTGGTCCCACATGTTTCTTCCCAATGATCCCTGAAGCACAAAGAGCCACAACCAGTCAGAGATAAAAATGGGGGAAAAGCTAATGGAGTGCATAACACTCTCCCAGCACTCTATGTTTCGGCATGGGCAAGCATGCTGGAGAAAATGCATACACAGAATCCATTACAGTTTGAAATAAGTACTTGTGTGAGGATTGACTGATTACTCTGTGGTGAGAAATTACCTTTAATCACATTATTTCCTTTAATGTTAGTACATCTGTTTCATAGCTTTGCCTCCAGCACTTCATTTTCACAAAATATGGCTTTTATTACACATAAAAGAAAGAAAGGCTTGGAGAAAGAAAACAGCTTATACTAGGGATAAATTGCACATACATGCATGCATCTAAGCAAGCATGCTAAGAAGATGCTGCAATCACTGCTCTCCCCTTTAGGATAAAAAAGGGAAAGGTTTCCCCTTGATGTTAGGTCCAGTCATGCCAGACTCTAGGGGGCGGTGCTCATTTCCATAGTGCACAGAACACTCCGTTGTGCAGATTCGAACTGGCGACCTTTCGATCAACCAGCCCAGCAGCACAGCAGATTAAACCACTGCGCCACCTGCAGTCCCCCACCTTTAGGGTACATTCTATGGAAAAGGTAAGCACTTGGCTTCCATGACTGTTAAAATGGAACTGGCAACTTGTACGCATGTGCTGAACAACTATATTTTGTATGTCAGCATCTAGAAATTCCAGAATACATCATGCAAGACTCTCTGACTAGGTTCAGGCAACACAACAGGCCAACCCTCCTGGTTCCCAGGCTGGAAGAGGGCTGCATCATGAATTTCAGGTTAATTTTGGGAGGACGTGGGATTCTGCCCTCCTCATCAGTTTACCTGTCCGAATTCCTGCCTGGCTGAGCAACAGAGGCAGGCTGCGTACACCATCAAAGGAGTTGAAGTGATGCACTTCCTGATGCAGCCCATACATCCCATTCTGGTGCTGCAGAGACAAAGAATCAGCCACAATATGACATGACACACTGATCAATGGGCGGGCAGGATGAATTTGCTGTTAATTCCAAATCCATAATCCCAGAAAAGGGCCAAGCTCCCTGACACTGCAGTCCCCCTGGCAAATGTTACCTGGGGCAGGCCGGTCAGAATGCTGGCCCGGCTAGGAGAGCAGCTGCTGACGGCACTGAAGGCATTCCGGAAGATAAGGCTGCGCTGGGCCAACGCATCAAGGTGCGGTGTGCGGATAGCTGTGTTGTTGTACACGCCACTCTCAAAGCCGCCATCATCAGCTGTTGCAAGGGTCAAAGGGCAGGTTGTGAGAGCAGCACCCCCAGTGGAGCACCTCTAGAACATTTTCTATAGTCCTGCAGCTCAGCCATGCCCAGTCTGGGGACTTCCACCTGTTTTGGACTACAGCTTCCAGCATCCCTCAGCCAGCAGGCTAAAGTTATTTCTGTAGTTCAAGGAGAGTCTAGCTCTGTTACAAAGACCTCAAATTCACACCCCTGAAATGTGTTGAATTCTAGATTCCTGTCATTTCATGGAAGCTGTCCCCAGATGCTCCAGCAAGGAAATGGGGCAGTCAGAACTCTCTGAAGTTGTGGCATCAGAGTCATGCAATGGTTTCACAGGCACAGGAGTTGCATCAGTCCACCTAGCTAGGCATCAGAGAAGCTACAGAACATACAGACAAAGGAGGCAACACCACCCATTGCATACAGTCCTGTTCATGCTCGGTCCATGTGCCAAAAGCTCTTAGATTTGGAAGGATGGGCCCAATCTTTTTACATTACAGCACCACTTGCTTGCTCCCACTTCTAGCAGCAATGTTTGAGAGTGTGCACCTGAGGGTGCCTGTTTCAAGAGCCACCCTCTAGGTCTTCAGGGTCAACATGCAGAATTCCTTGCAGAATTCTTTTCCTTTTCCTACCAGAACTCTTGCCTGTGGTGTCATGACAACAGGCAGAAATTCAACAGGAAATGCTTTCCACGCCATGTATTGAGGAATGGTTGCAACTGCTGAATGTGTTGTATATCTGTTAGCAGCCCTAACCTGAGAAAAAGTTGGCAACATGGTCTGAATTGGGGACCAGATGCCACAACTGTCCAACCCAGAGTGGAGAAGAGTGTGTGGAGTGAATGGTGGCTATAGCAATGGCCCAGTGGGGTGCCCTCTAGATGTTTTGGACCACAGTTCCCAGCAGTTCCTACAGTTCCCACTGGCCAGGATGATCGGCTCGGCCTAATGAGAACTGAGGTTCACGGCATCTCGAGGGCACTGGGTTGAAGACGTTCAGCCAAGCGCGGCTCGGTCGGAGAGCGCGGCCCCTCCAACCCTCCTCAAAGCAGCCCCGTTGCTAGCTGAGGCTACTTCTCTCATGCACACCGGGCGGGTTTCTGGCTTTCTGTGCGGGAGCGGGGGTGGGGGGGCGTCCGGACCTTGCGGGTGCGGTCTTTAGGGGGCACCAACTCCCTGGCAGCCTTGAATCTGCCCGCTTACCTACGACCAGGAGCACGTTGCGAGATTTGCGCGGGCCCTTCCCAGTGCAACAGAGCCCCGCGCGAAGGACGCCGAGGACGAGCAGCGCCCCCACCCAGTTCCTCGCAGACAAGCGCATCGCCGCCGCTGGCCCCAGGCCTGTTCCCGGCCGGGCACAGGCGAGCGCTCCTTCCTTGACGCCCTTGGCAAGGAGCCGCGCCTCGGCTAACTAACTGCGGCTCCGCCTCCCGACCGGATCACGTGAGGTCGAGGTGGAGCGCTGCGGCGCGATCTGCCGGTTCGGGGGCTGGCGGAGCGGTCCGGGTCGAGGAGCTGAGCAGACGCGCCCTGGGAAGCGGCCGCCTTCGGGGAGACGATCGAGCGGGAGTGCGGGAAGGAGTTGTAGGCCTGGGGTGTCTCTGTCCGCATGGCCAGGAGAGCATCCGGCGCGGGCGTGTAAGTATCCTTTGGTGTTTATTTTGTTCGTAAACGGACCAGGGCTTCTCCTTGCCACCCTGAAAGGTCCCAAGCTATACCAGGTCTTGCGATGGTGCTATACCTGTTTGAAGCGCAGTTTAAGACTCAGTCCAGCCCCCACGCTATTTTTGATGCCAGTTTACGAACGTGTGAAGGTTTTCCTAGAAAGAAGCCTGAGCTTAGGCAGAGTGATTTTTCTGATCACTACAGCCCACGTATTTGTGGCTGGGCATTGGAGCTTTCTGGTCGGAAAGGTGGAATTGCAGGTTAACAATTATAGCATCATAATTTGAGTTAACAACTGAAAGATAACTGTACTGCAGGTCTTGTTGGTTGTAACGGGTGGGAGAGAAACATTGCTGAGGATTAAAATTAGGGACATTGCATGGAGCTGTTTTACCCAGAAATGAGAAGTATTGGTTACCTCAGGGGTGAACAACTTGTGGCCTTCTAGACGTTTCCCATACGGCTCCTTTCAACTCGTGCCTTTGCACTCAAGGGCGAGGGATGGTGGAGTTAGAAGCTCAAGCTCTGGAGGCTACAGGTTGCCCAAACCCGGAAAAATTGCCTATATGCAGTTGCTCTATTAAAGAACAAACAAAGAGCAATGTCCAAGCCTGTATTCAGTGGGGTGTATTCCCAAGCAAATGTATCTGTGATTGCAGCTTGAGTTATAAAGTTTACACAAGTGTTGTATGTTCCCCTGAAATAAGCTGCAGCCCCCTTGGCTATGTCAAGCCAAGCTTTGCTGATACTTACTCATGGTGAGTAGCAGCTACTTCAGCCCAGTGCTGTATTCTCCCCAGCCCCTGTCAGGCTGCACAAGCAAGATGGACAGTCGTTCGCAGCACTAGTATGACCGCATGCATTCATGCCCCAGCTTATCTCTGCAACTAGTGAAAATGGCCTTGAGAGAGGGAAGGAGGTTCTTCAGAAACAGGGTCTACCTGCATCCTGAGGATTGTTTCTGAATCTGCTTTGCCAGACCAAGGAGTATAAAGTTGCCATGTGTTGCTCCCCTGTTGCAATACTTTCCTATCTGGATATGCATTGTACTAATAATTGGCACTCCAGTCAGCATGACAGGAGGTGCTTTTGTTCTATCTTCCTGTATTTACATCTCATCCTCATTCAAACAATGTATATTAGGCCATTCCTTCCCCATGCCCCATAACACTATTTTAAGGCAGTTTATAAGAGTAAAGCCATAAATTAGCAATTTAAAAGCATCAGTGATAAAAGCATTAAGGTGCTAAAGCAGCAGTAGAAAACAGTAATGGCAGTGCATCAACAGATATGTGCACACGGGCGTCCACGCATAACCTTTTTGTTCTCTGAATTAGAGAATTACGCTACTTTCCGTTTTAGGTGGAGCACAGTCACTTCATGCTTTGGTACTCCATTTAATATTTGATACGGAGTGGAATACTTTAACTGGTTCCTGTGACTGGAATTGTTGCTGTGTTGCAGGTGTGTTTGTGTGCTTCTCCATGCCAATCTGGGAACCTTCCTGATTTGTCTTGGCAACGGCCACCTGAGATGACATCTTCTTTGGCCTCCTCTGTGATGTTCCTGTGGCCATGAGAGACTTTGATCATGGCCAGGATGGCAGTTCCCCACCCTGAATGACTTTAAGTCCAGCCATGGCTGAGAGAAGTCGTGTGACTTGGCTTCAGTGCTGCCAAGTGGCCAAGAAGAGACTGCCAGTCCTCCGGTGGCTTCCCAAGTACTCTTTGCAGTGGCTACAGTTTGATTTTGTGGCTGGACTGACTGTGGGCTTGACTGTCGTGCCACAAGCTCTTGCCTATGCCGCAGTGGCTGGTCTCCCAGTGCAGGTGAGGCTGCTGAAAGTTGGTGAACGGTTGGCTGCATTTGTGACCTTTGGAAGTATGTTCTCTCAGCATGCATGGTGGTGAGGTTGGCTGCCCATAGTGTTAGGACTGCTTGCCCTGTTAATTCATACTACTACATCTAATTGCATCTACTGCAATTTAATTTTTAACAAGGGAGTGGTAGTTACCCCTGTTACTTATTGACCTGTGATGGTGATTAGGCCCTTCCTAAGTTGTGCACTCTGGTGTAGCTGATTAAAAATCCCTTTTTCACAAGAAACGCACTATATGCTGAAAACCAATGGTGTGAGGTTTTTAGAGTTAATGAGATTTGAGTGTATTTAGGAGTCTGTGACCACTTTCAGATAATTTAGGATTGATGAATAGGAATGACCTCTGTTTCTGAAACTTTACTTTCTGTTGGTTCTGCTGCATATTATAAGATGATAAATCCCTAGACATATTCCCTTTTAAAGTGTTTCATTAAATTCTCCATGGGATACCTTCAAGTATTGTAGGGCCTGGATCTACTTCTCCCAAAATACAGCATTCCAAGGTGGTTACCTCAGAATCTGAACCTGAACTGGAGGATGAGGCAGGCTCAGAATCCTTAGCTGAAATACCAAGGCCAGCAAGCCCAAGATATGCCAAGCGGAGTTGGAGTGTGTCTGATTTTGAGCAAAGCACTGTGGAATATTTATTTATTTATTAAAACATTTCTATGCTGCCCCATTCGCCGAACCCCCGGGCGGCTCACAACATACAAAATAGTACAAAAATAACAATATAAAACTAACAATATAAAATAAATAACAATATAAAAGAAGTCTCCCTTCTTTCAGGCAAAATCTGATGTAACTTGAGCAGTTGCAAAGTCCAGTGTCAGATCAGACAGGTCAGCCAAGTGAGCTGTTCCTGCTTTCTGAACCACAAAGATGAGGAACCACCCCAGGGGTGGGACTAACTCTGGTTGAGAAGGGAGGAGAAGGATTCAGTGTATGTCCCTAACTAGCTGGCTTTCTAACTTCACTGGTGTCTTTTGTCAATGACTTCTGCAATGCTCCTTTTATTTTGCAGAGCAAGCTAAGCTAGCCAGCTTGAACGTTATAACAACTATAGTTAGTCTTGCCCTAACTATAGTGGGGTGGGGGACTGACTTCTGATCAGTGTTTCTTTTTTCTTGGCCATCTCCAGGCTTGGTTGTGTTTAAAATTCTTCAGCCACTATGATCAGTGTCTGATTGTCTTTTGCCTCTTTTCCTTACAGTATGGGCTCTATTCCTCCTTCGTGGGCCCTTTCGTCTACTGCCTTTTGGGGACTTCAAAAGATGTAACCCTGGGCCCCACGGCAATCATGTCGCTGTTGGTGTCATCCTATGCATTCCATGACCCCTCCTATGCCATTCTACTTGCCTTCCTTTCAGGCTGTGTCCAATTAGCTATGGGACTGTTGCAACTTGGTAAGAACTGGCTATTATATTGGACCAAGTTGGTGGTCCTGTTGCTTGTAATCAAGCAGGGTGCTTTAGAGAGAAGATGGAATTGGAAAGATGATAGGAGAGATGTGAATCACACCTGTTGTGTTGACTTTAAATTCTGGTAGCTGGAACACATCACTAAACATGAAGCTACATCCTTAGTCCTCTCTGAATTATTATGTAATCTTATTGGTTTCTACTTAGAAGTAAGTCCCAGTGAGTTCACTGGAGTATACTCCCAAGTAAAAGTACAGGATTGCAGCCAAAGTTGTTTTTTTTTTTTAATTATGGCGATTTGTAACCCTACTTTTTCTGTAAATTCTCTTTGGCCTGCTTTTGTTACTGTCTGGTTTTGTTTCTCTAAGGCATGCACATTTTTGTTGTGATCACTGAGATCATGTTCAGATATAAAGGCAGCTCTCACCATTAATTAACCCACAAATTGTGGGAATACCACTACAAGCAAGCTGTTTCATGTCCTCAGTAACAACCCTTAAAATGTGGCATTTGAGGGTTGTTACTGGATGTCCAAACATTGGTGGGGGCTTGTTTATGGGTTAAGCAACCTTGTATTAAACCAAGAACAAGCCATGGGTTAAGTGGGGGGTTGTTGAACCTATGAACAACCCAAGGTTTAGACATCACAGTTACAACATTCAAATGCTGTGTTCTAGCCTTGCTGCTTGCCCCAAGAAGAAAGAGTTACGTGCTCATTATGTATATTTAAAGTTTGAATACACTCCGTTTCTAGGACCTAGGATCAATAATATTTAAAACAAATGAAACTCACAGAAGGTAATTAAAACATTGTGGAATATTCAGATCATTTTCTTGCTTAGTTCCAAATGTGTATGTACATAGATTAAACAGGTTTCTGCTTAGAATATAATTTAATGCATGAGCAGTATTTTGAATGCAGATGTAGGTGGAGACAGGCCTTCTTTTCCCAGCTTTGTTCAGATGCCCCTGTCTTTTTCTTTTCTGATTGCTAAGGAATCACAGGAAGTATTAGACCTGAAACACAAGGAAACCAAGAGAGTATCATGTGACAGGCAAAAGATTCCACTGGCTGCCATGGAAATAGCAGGCCCAAATCTGGCATGGGGCACAGATATGGGACAAAGAGCAGCAAAGATCCCATTGATCCCTGTGAGCCTAAGACAGAGAGAGGCAGTGGAAGGCAGCAACCCAGGGAGAAGTACTACTGTATTTACTTATGCCACCAAAATGACTGAGGCTGCCTTTTTGACAAGCTTGTCGTATGGATGGGATTGCCAAGAGGGGAATTTTCAGCTGAGCTTAGCAATTATAATGGAACATAGACAGTAAGGTGCTATTAATTATGTCTGGCCCGTCTTCAGAAAGCTAAATAGAGATTCTTCATTCCTGGCAGGTTTCCTGTTGGACTTTATCTCCTATCCTGTCATTAATGGATTCACTTCAGCTGCTGCAGTCACCATTGGCTTCAACCAGGTTAAGGTAGGCTGACCTATCACTTGGCCATTATCTGGCAACTCAAGTGAAGTAGTCTCCTGACCAAACACACTTTTGTTAAGCTATCCTTGAAGTTTGGACAGGAGACCTTTTGTATCCAATTTGTAAAATATAGATATTAACCTGCCTGTTAAGTAAACTTGGCTGGTCTTTGATGAGCACTTCAAGGAGAGTTTTGTGGGATTTATCAAAGGCTGGCTATCTGGAAGTAGTCTGAATGGATCCAGATGTCAAAAATTCTGCACCTGCCTGTTCATATCAGACTTGTAAAAACTGACCTACTTTTGCTAGACTTTCATGCTAGGATTCTCATTTGTCTATTCTTGCAAGAACTGACATTGTATTTCCCGTACGAGTCAATTTTGCCCTTGCTTTTCATCTGTAATAAGCATTGATTGGGGTGAAGACTCTCTGGAGCAAGAGTTGTTTAGCTCCCGCTTTCCTACCAGATACCAGATGTAATACAGAATTCTTGGATGCCATACGACAGAAAGATCTGACAGTTTTAGCCAGTTACAGTCCCCTAGTGATTCCCCTGCTGAATGCCCCACTGACCTACCTTCTCAGCCATATGGCAAGTATACAGCTGCACAAAGTAGCTCCCAAATGAGAAGCAGAGAAATGGCTGAAATTGGAGACTAATTGGAGCCTAACTACCCTTTCTAGTCATTTTGGCTAATCATTGTGGTGGTCTGCAAAGCAAAGAGGCTTCCCATAATGCTGAAGTTTGCATTCTTCGTTGTAGCACTGGATAATTTCCTGTATGTCACCTTCTAGGATAGGTGATGTCTTTGGATGTGAGTGTGGTGTGGAGCCTGTTGCCTCCTTACTTCATCTTTTAAAAGCTGTCTTCCGTAGCATTAATGCTTCCTTTGTGGTTGACCACTATCAGCTATTCATAGCAGGGCACCTGATAGCAATCACTGGTATGGCAAGAAGTGTGCCTGAGAAGAAGCCCTCAGTTTCTTGTGATCTATGGGGCTTTGAAACAGTTCACATAGAAAGAGCAAGAAACCCTTATCAGGTAAAGGGCCTCTGTCTTGTGGCCTGAGTTAATATTCTAGCAAAGGCTGTCCAGGTTTCACTTTACCTTTCAGCAGAAACTGCAGAGGAGAAGGTCAAGATGCCTCTCTTGGAAGTCTGAGTTACTGGTCATTGAAAATACAATTTTACCTTCACAGGGGAAAAAAATAGAAATGTAAGCGTGATGTTAAGGTGTAATCCTATCATCCCCGGGAGAGGCAAATCCTTTGTGGGTGTAAGAACAGGTCCATTACCTGAAGCCTTTTTATCCAGGTGGCAGAAAATGCTGCTATTACCATCCTGCCTTTGGAGCTCTAATGAAAAGGGGGCAGATCAGGGAGACCTGGATCCAAAGCTCTTCAGTGTCCATGATATAACAAATGAGGGAAAACAATCTAGCCATGAAGCTGGTATAGTTTTGTTCCCCCTCTCTGGGAACAATGGGAGGAAGTAAAAAAGCTGGCTATAGCTGATAAAAAGGTTTAAAAAATAGAAAAAAGGAAACAGCAACAAAAGGTTTGGACTCTACCTTCTGTGCTGTCTGGTGCAAGCACGGAGGGGGGAGTTCTCCCTCCCTCACCTTCATATGTTTGCTGTGCCCATCTCTTAAAGCTTACTTTTTCTTAATGTATATGACATTTTATGGACAGTGTATGAAATACATAACCAAATATGTTTTGGAAAGTGAACAACACACATATGTAAGAAAATGCCTATGAAGGCTGTCATGCTAAGCTTATTTGGGTGGGACGCTTAACATTCCACCCCAGTCAGTGTGTGTAGGATTAGGCTGGAAGGAAATGAATGGGAAAACATGTACCATATTCAGTATTGAGACTAAGGATGCAGTCCTATGCATGTTGACACAGACAAAAAGCCCTACAACCCTCAGCATTCCCTAGGGCTTTTTTCAGTCTCAACTTGCATAGGATTGCTGCCTAAAGATACCTGCTGGCGAGCTGCAACACCCTATGCTTTCCCTTAGAATGGGCCCCCTTGGATAGCTGCAGACATCCAAGAGCAGGAGATTCTGCGGAAATTGATGAGCCCATTATTATGAGTCCCCAAAAGGTTGCCAAGCAACTCTTATTTCTGGTGGGTGTTCTGATTGTTTTACCACTATTTATTTACCCAAGATTTATTGGGTGTGTGTTTGTTTGCATAGACACTCCTTGGCCTGCAGAACATCCCACGGGAATTTGTCTTCCAGGTATATTATACCTTCCGCAGAATTGGTGAGACAAGGTAAGTGGACATCTCTAGATTTGTCCCCTTGTTTTATTCTTTTAAAGGTATTTTATTGGCAGAAATGGTGAAGGTAATGTAAAAACAGCATGTGGAATATAGCAGGGAATAATAAATGCCCTTGGGACTGCTCCAGGCCCAAGACACTGTATTTCTAATATTCCTTGCCCTGAAACAGCCATGATCCGTAGTTCTTTGTTTCCACTTTGTTGGGTGGTTATGGGAACCTGTGAGGAAACAGAAATCTGAGCTGCTGGGGGAAGGAGCTGGGATAAGGGGTGAAGCAGGTCATCCTTGAGGGCCAGAGGCATAAACAAAAAAACCCAAAACGACGGATGAGTTGAGCATTCCTAAACTATAGCAATTGGGAGGTTTCCCTGCATGTTATCATCCTGCCCCCTGCATCTGATTTGGCTTTTATTACATGGATTGTATGCATTGTCTCCAGGATTTGCAGTTGGGCTTGAAATTTTTAAAACAGCTGAACCAGCTATATATGCATGCAGCGTGATCATGGATGCTAAATGTACTCATAACTCTTGGAGGAAGAAATGAGATTGGATCTTGATTTTACTGTTCAGGCCCTTGAAATTCAGACCCTTTCACTTTGGGTGCAATCTAGTGGGACATTTTAAGCAGGATGGAATAAGCATAGGGGGAAAAGCTGCCTCGGTGCATCTCCCACTCATCAGCCAGCTTCAGCCATCTGAGTGCAATGGAGGCTGAGAAGCTGCCAGGTTATATTGAGTCTTGGCAGTGCTGGGGTCCTTTCCCCTCCGTCTCCAAAAACATTTCTCTGAGGTTTCTGTTTCAACCTTAGAAAAGCAGCCCACATAATTCTTTCCTCCCTCATGGCTGGTGCAGAGAGGGAAGTTCAAGCCCAGATCCCCACGCTGAGGTCGGAGCAATTTTCCATCCTGAGAG